TTAACTCCACTTAACCACTGCAGTGGCAGTGATAAGGAAATAAAGGTGTTTAAAAAGAGAAACTCCTGAGAAGAAAAGTGCTTATTAAATCTAGATGCAAAAAGTATATCTATTGAGAATATCTACACAGTAGAGAAAATCATACAAGAAACTGCAAACATAAGAAACGCAGTAAAAACCTTGTTCAAATAGGTAAAATCTTCTTAACTCACAAGCCCAGTGTACACCAACACTGGGCTGGATAATACTTAACAATATGTATACCCCTACAAGATTTATCTTACAAAAACCTATCTCTGAACATTCACCCAAAACTTTTGCATAGCAGCACTTTTATCTACTTTAAAATTTCTCAAATTAAAATAGGCTGGTCAAAGGCAGGCTGATTTTGGAAAAATAGAGTTAGTATTTTTCAGATGTCTGTGAAAGTTCTCATGTCATGCTATAACTACCGGTAGCAGCGGTTTGTTGTATTCAAATGGACTTGTTCTATAATGAAGAAGATATTCTTCCACTCATCCAGCTGAGAAATCCACTTGGATGAGTGATGAAACATCCTGAACATATTAGAACAATTCCAGCTGAACATCATTAACTACTACTTGCTATTTTAAATATTACTTGAATGTTTAAAAAAATATTCAACAGATACAAGGGTATGTCCACGCTTGCAGTCAAATTTGAGAAAACTCTTTCAGATGTTTTGGTAAATCAGGCAAGATGGCTGATCTGTCCTAATGCAAACACTTTGGACTGAAATGTGAGGATTGTGTTTATCTGATAAGTTTCGTTACCATACAATGGACAAGTCATGTCAGACCCCTCACCCTTCACAACCCTCCTAACATTTCAAAGAAATAGAAGCAAGAAGAAATTTTAACCCTTAAAACCCTAACCCAAGTAAAGCAATTTAAACTGCAAGCATTTTTCATTTTTTTTTTTAGTTTATGCTATGTGAATGGAAACATACAACAAATATACAATAGGTGTTATCCCAATTTGGCTGTCACTTGAATTCTAAACTTTCTACCAGCTTTATGGCATTCCCTAAAATCACTTGAATCATACAAAGGATCTCAATTTTTTTCCCTGACATTTGATAATCTAGATAAAGAATATTAACTGACTAGTCTTTAATAGTCTTTAACAATTCAAAGAATATTTGTCAAATTTTACAAAAGCCTTGCCATTCGTGGCTGGCAAAAGAGGCTCAATATACCTTAATAGTCAGGCCACATTACCTGATTTTTTTTATACAAGCCAGTGCTAAAATGATATCTATCAGTTCCAGAAATCATGGGATTTTTTGTATTCCGAAAATAAGTGGTCTTCACCTGTGTGTGGTCCAATTTACCTTACCCTGGAAAATACCCGTTAAAGACCTATTATAGTAAAGTAATTTTCTTGAGAAGTTCCACACAAAGTGTTCTTTTCGATGTATAGCTCTTATGTGAGTGCCAGTGAGTCAGCGGGGTTGATTTACTAACCTTATAAACACACCACAAACATGTATACACCTCTGTAGTGTGTTCCCTCCCAGCATGATCTATGGGTGGAATCTAAACAACTTTGTAGTGTGTACACACCCAGCAGGTGTGTTGTGCAAAGCCCTGCCCTGAATTGCAAGGTGATGTTGTGTAAATTAGCTCTACATTGTGTTGCTTGCGTTGATAAATGCATGAGCTAACCATTTTTGTCTAAACTGTGAAGCAGCATTATATATGCATCATGTGCATGATTTTTCCATATATGGCATTAGTGGAAATATGCTTACAGAGACTTTTTGGTTGATAAATACGCTTTGCTGTGTAAAAATCACATGCACCTGGTGCGTGCGTGTGTTTAGGTTAGTAAATCACCCCCAGCAGGTCTAATGAGTACACACCTACCATCTGAACATTTACAAGTTCATTTCTCTGCTGGCTAGCAAGTGGAGGTGTTAATAATATGACATTTGCTCATTGGATACCTCTTGAAAGCAAGTGATTAATTAGCGCTCGGTAATCCGTTTCTTAATTTCACTCAATAAATAATGTGATATTTAAAAATTGATCATGTTCCCGTAGAATGCCTATAAATGTCACAGGACTCTTCTCTTTTTTTTATACAAATTATAATACAGCAATAGCACAAACCTTGTTATTTCTTTTCATATTAAATTAGAAAGAAAACAATATAAAGCATATTTATTTGATTACAATTATTTTTTTTGCTCATTAAGACTATGCTAACGTCTACAAACAGCAACATAACATTAGCATTGCAAGGTATTGACTTAAGCTGCAACTAATAATAGCTTGTTTATGTGCCTGCAAAGGCTTGTTGGATGGCTATTACAGGAGTAATCTCATGAGATTAATCTAACAAAGGCAATACAAGGTATCGCCCAACAATCTCAGTAACGTATGACTGCTTAATTATACCACTGGAGACCTGAGACATGACTGAGTAGTGAAAGTTTCACCAATATGGCTAAAACTGTCCATCTAGTTTTTTGAAAGGACAGTGTAAACCTCCTGTACTGCTATTCTGCCTTTATTTCTGGCACCAACATATACCTGCTTAGACATCTAATGTCTAGGGCAGAAGAAGCAGTTGTATGTAGAAAACAACGTTTTGCATTTCCAGTTCTGGAAATGCATAAACCTCTTTTAATTCTCTTTCCATGATATAGGAGTTGTGCACCCACACCAAAAATATATCAGATTGGTACACTTAGTCAAAACGTGTGGCATCATATATAATCTGCCCAAGTGTGGATACATTTAGACAACCTACACATCAGTTTCTCTGCTCTGCCCACATCAGTAGTCTGGTATTCTTGAAAAGGTAAAGTGTAAAATGAATGTATTATTAGAAGACTTGGGGGTTAGTTTACTAAAGGAGCTTGTTCATCCAACAAAGTGAATGCTCACTTTGCAAAGTAAATGTCAGTGAAGCTGCCTTCACCTATAATATCCATTCTTGTGTGAGGGATATTAAACTAAACAGGGGTTTTCTAGCATATGGTTGTTGTTTTTTTAAAGTGAACCCAACTTCACCCTATTTAGTAACATACATTTTGCAACATGAACTTTCACTTTGCTACATGGACTGCCCCTATTCCTTTAGTAAATCACCCCCACTGAGAGCAAAGGGTTGAGACAATTAATAAAAGTGTTAATTTAGTGCAGCACTACACAAAATAACATGGTATTATTTTCTGCGTTTAACAAAGGAATGCCTATCTTTAATATAGAACACAGACATTTACATTATAAAATATTTGAAACATTTAGGTTAAATATTGCACTACAAACCTTACTTCATTGAGTTCCAGATGAACAGAACATAATCAATAAGAGTGCAAAGTATAATTTCTGTTAGTGGATTTAAATCTTAGTTTGCTAAGACAACACTCCAGACAGAATGATAATTTACACACCACACTGGGTATGTACATTATTATTAAAAAGCTGTGTGGTATGTGGCGAGGGCTGCTGCAAAGTATAAAAATCTTACCTTGCAGCATGCTGTTCCCCACACAGAACACCTAGTTTCCAGGCACTGAAGAGAGGGAGTGATGCAACCTGAACTATACAGTGCTCCGTTTGCATCACCTGCCCCTCCTCACTATCCTCTATTCACAAAATATCTTGTATCTTTTGTATTTTTGTATTGAAGGAAATGAGGGGGCGAGGATGGGACATCTGACAACACCATGAAAATCCAAGAGGCTACCATGCCCTGATATTAACAAAATTATTATGTTTAAATTGTTAAAATTGTTAGAACAGGACACAATGCAAAATCTCTCCAACAGAGACACAGACAAAACCAAAAAGTGATGAAAGACTAGAACTTCTGGCTTGGTTTCACAGGGATTAGACGCTAATTGATGTCACAGGCATAGGAAGTGATGGAAACTTCTCAATAGGGTTACGTACAGAAGTAATAACCTAACAGAACTTTGAACTGTTCCCTGCTCTATCCAAAACTACATTTGGCTTTAAATCCTAAAATTCTGGACTTACCTTATTGGTTGCAATAGTACTGACACTGAAGAGTCTAAACACAATGGTGCCAAACATATCCTCTGCTAATATGAATGGGTTAAATGATCCGTAGTACATGATATGTAGCCCTGTACCCCCTTTTCCACTTACAGAGCTAGGTTATTTTTCTTTTAAATAAATATTAATGTAATTTTATTGGTATCTATCTACCAGTAGCTGCCTCATTTCCCACCCTCGGCTTATATTCGGGTCAATACTTTTTCCCAGGTTTTTTTGGTAAAATTAGGTACCTCGGCTTATATTCGGGATGGCTTATACTCGAGTATATACGGTAGGTCTATATTGCCTAGGCACGCGTATATATGCAATTAAGTAGACACTGTCTGAAGCCTGATTTTAGGGGAACAGTACTCCTTTGGATAAAAAAATTATTCTGTGTAATGCACTGCAGAAAAAATCCAGAGAGCACCTCACAGGGTCACTAGGCAAATACTTCCAAAAGCCTGTTATGTATAACTTTGCTCAGTGTTGATTTTAGTTCATAAAACACTTCAGTGCACTGCAGTTCTGAATCTAATTGGTGTCTGTGAAAAAATGCCTTACCATTTGATATTTTTTTATATCAGATTTTCTGTGTGTGAGAGACAACAGTGAGCCTGCAGTAGGTGTGCTAGGGGATAGCTCACGTACATCACAGGTAGGGGTTCTCAGATCACCAGACTACTGACAAAAGGGACATGGGTGGACTTGTACACAGCAATACATTGATGAAAAACGTAAATATTAAGCAGGTATGCTGTGCTCCTTATATCCATGTCAAGATTTAACATTCAAATTTGACTGGGAAATAGAAAGAGTCACCTAAAATCCCAACCCATCTAAGTTTTTAAACCTCTCTAGATTCTGTGTAGTGCAATAGGGTGTGCATGTAATGTAATATCTATGTTATGTCCTATACTGTGGTTTGCTGATATATGCTGTAATGATTTCTTACAGACCTGAAAGGAAGACCAATCAACCAGTGTGTGAAGAACATGAAGATGAAAAAATTAACATATATTGTCTGAACTGTGAAGTGCCCACATGCTCCATGTGCAAAGTATTTGGAGCTCATAAAAACTGTGAGGTTGCTCCACTGGCTCAGGTTTTCCAGGGCCAAAAGGTATGTTTTCTTTTACTAATTTCCATTAAAAGTGTTTCAGATGGATTACATCATCATATTATTATTACTATTGTTATTATTATACAGGATTTTAAACAGAGGGAGACAATAAAATTAACAATACAATTTCAATACAGGAGGTAGGAGGGCCTATATTCACTATTGGTAAAACAAAATAGCCTGGTATGTGATGCAAAGAAACCCACTTTCATATATGTTTACCTCTGCAGTATAATGTTTATTTCTTGTTATTTTGGAAAAAAATTGCAGTATTGGAAATATAAATTTTATTGGCAAAAAGCTGAGTAATGATGAGTAAATTAGCTTGGGTTTAAATCACAGGCACATTCAGCAAATGCGTACTAAAATTCACAAATTGCAAATTTTCATGCACACTACTTTAAAGTCAAGGGGAGGTGAATCTTCAAAATCAGTTTTCTCAATTTTCAAGGCTAATAGGCAAGGGATTGTCAAACAAATGACATAGCGAGGCTTAAGGAATATGTACCAAAATAAAAAAAAATACAGTTCAGTGGGGAGCAGCTCTTTTTAATAAGTCTTAAAAGACATAAAAAATATAAATTTCCTTTAAATAACGTGGTTGGGGAGTGTCCTAAACCAGCACATGTAGCATATATAGGCTGTACAGCTTTTTTTCTTTTTTTTTTCTACAGCAGAAGTAACATTTTATAAAGGAAAAAATAATTACTTTCTAAAATGTCACTTTTTCTGTAGTACATCGTATAGCAAGTTACAATAAAAGCTCTTGTGGTATTGATTTTAAAGGGGAACCCCTTGCAAAAAAGTAAAAAGAAAAAAAACAAACAGACAGCATGGGGTTCCCCCAAAGATCAACACCAGATGCTTATACAGGCTGGCTGGCCAGCAGTAGGGGGGAGGGGGGGGTGACTGTGTGGCTTCCACCTTCCTGAACCATACCAGGGGTCGTCACATATCCTCAACATGGGGAGGGTTGCTTGCCAGGGTGTGGTGACCTCCGCCCCATCTTGGGCATGGCTTCTTGTCACCCTTTTAATGAGGACAAAGGGCCTCACCCCCCCATCTGGTTCCCAAGAGGGTACTACGTGATGAGTAAAGGGTACTCATTCACAAAAAAAAGGAAATAAACAGACACCTTGATGAAGTCCTTTAACAAAAAAAAATATCCCATGGTGTAGATTCATCGTCAATCACATCATCTAGCAATGTAGAGCCATCATCATTCATGATGAACAACAATCGTGACAACCTGATAACACAAAAACGACAAGCCATGTGCGACGGTCTTCACCCAATAGACTCTCAACAGTTTCCCAGCTGGCTGCTGAAAGTCAGCAAACCAGCTGGTGATCCCCTAATGATGTGATTAACCAAATATGTCCATATGGATGACAAAGTGGGAAAAGCCAGAGTTCACGATGGACCCTACATTAACGCACACGTAAACATCATTCCTAAAGCTGAATATCCACCCAAACATTTTTCCAGACAAAACACTCCTCCGGCATATGCCAGAATTACCAAATTACCAGTTCAAGAACTGGGCAACAGCAAAATAAATTATTCTTTTCATCTCTGCAATACATGCACATTTGTCTGTGTTTTGTCTCTTTCAGACCTGTTGAGCCTGTCAGAAATCCAGAACTTCAAACTTTCTGTAGTGAGCTGACAATGCTGCTTTTTCTGCACTACAATCCCAAGCAGTGTTGCCAACCTTGCATAAGTTCTCCTCTACTCGACTATAGAAAGTGTGGGAAGGTGTTCTGTAGATCAGCAGATCGGATGGGCAGGGCTGACAACACTGTATGGAATTTCAGCGCATCAGAGGCATCATTGCCAGCTCATTATAGGAAGTTATGAGCTCTCTGGATTTCTGGCACGATCAACAGGTATTTTCCTGTACTTAAAGCTTTTTTTTAAATTTGAATGTATTGCACAGATATGAATAGAGAGTATGGAATTTGTGTTTTTTGTTTTTGCTTAATTATACAGGTGAAACTCGAATAATTAGAATATTGTGCAAAGTTCATTTATTTCACTAATGCAACTTAAAAGGTGAAACTAATATATGAGATAGACTCATTACATGCAAAGCAAGATAATTCAAGCTGTGATTTGTCATAATTGTGATGATTATGGCTTACAGCTCATGAAAACCCCAAGAACCCCAAATCCACAACCTCAAAAAAGTAGATTATTATATGCAATCAATAAAACAAGGATTGTACATAGAACAATATCGGACCTCTGAAAAGTACAAGCATGCATATGTACTCAGTACTTGGTTTGGGCCCCTTTTGCAGCACTTACTGCAATTACTTTTGCACGATATTCTAATTAATCGAGTTTCACCTGTACACTATCACAACTTCCCAATCAAAGACATATGTTATAAAAGACATATTAGTCAGATACAAGAATCTCAGATGTGGTACAATCATCTTTGCTTGCACTAATTCTGGCGATAGACCAGGGCGTACTAATTAATAGTTCTGTTTTTCACACATTTTACACCTCTAAATTAATTTGTGTAAAGCACAAGTCATGCAGTTGTTTTATGACTATCTGTTCATAAAACTATGTGATGAAAAGTAATTTGAGTTAAGAGAACTGCATTTCTCTCAACTGAATGTTGGCTATAGACTCTGTAGAATGTTACTTGTGTTGTCACAATGCAGAGGAAACCACATATAATTTTAGGTGAATCCAGGGTTACCTAAAATCTACTAAATTGGCAGAAATCTGTGAAGTGAGCATCTAGAGGCATTTGCCTGTACAGTTTTATACTTTGTATCTCACCCATTCCAAAAAATCTGGGGAGTTCTGGAGTGCAATGATCAACTTCACTTCATAAGGTTAGGCACAGGCCCCTCTCCTTCTACTAGCTATCTACCCTTCACTGTTGGCCTATAACTATAATGGGCAAAATAGTTGACAGTACTTGCAGTTAGACATGTAAATTACGTTACAAATGGATATTCGTACAAATGTTGTTAAATTCGGACATTCGGATGCATCCAAATTTCCAAATTCAAATGTGTCCAAAGGTGAACGAATCCGAATGTTCCTTTAACGAAAATTCGGATCTGTCCGAATTTAATTCAAAACTAAACTAAATCGGACATGTGACTGGTCTCTGGACAATTCCGACATTTTTTTTTTTTGGGCTGTTGGAAGTTGCATTCCAGGCATAGTCATGTGACTCCCTTTTGTGGATCTTTCCAAAATGAAAATTCAGGCGGATACAATATCCGAATAACAAACCGAATTGATCTTCGAATCTGAAATCTGAAAAACAAAAGAAAGAAAAATCCTAATCGATCCGAAACAAAACAAATGTTTTGCGGGCTCACATGTCTACTTGCAGGCACCTTTAGGTGCTTGCTTTCCATCACTATGACAAGTTGTTTTCAGTGGCCAATAGACATGTTAATAAAGATAAAAAAAATGGTAACTTTGTTAAACAAAAGGTAATATTATAATAACATTATCACCAACTGACAATCATGATGTAAGACTTTTTTCCCGTAGAAACCAAATCTTTAAAGATTAGCTCAAGCCAAGAGTATGTAATTTCATTGTTAAAACCTTTCTATTGCATTTCTGGTAAAAGCTGAGAATGTTGAATTTTCCTTCCTTTAAGTCTTAGTGACCGTAGTCAACAGAACAAGAGAGAGTAAATCTCCCTAACGGTGACACAGGCAGCAATACAAATCTGACAGGTGTTATGGCTTTAGATGCACTTTAGGGATTATTTATAAATCTTCCGCCTAGCCATAAGCTAGATGAATGCCGTTCACACTGCATTTCGACCGCTAGATGGAGGAGATGAGAATGCCATGCAAATTGCATTTGACCAGCATATGGCTAGGCAGATGTATAAATACACCCATTTAGGAATTATATTCAACAACAAACTTTGCAATACAAGTCTCAAATATGACAGTAAAACATTTTTTTCAAAGGGGGTAAAGGTCACTTTGTGTTCTAACTCATAGGGGCCAATCAAATTTGATGTTTTTACATTTCTGTTTAATCATAACAAGTATTCTGGATTCAACATGCAAATTGACTCAGTCCTTACAAAACCTGAACAATTTTATTAAATTCCTCACCTGTTTATTGGGACTTGGACCATATTAGAGCCGTGTGATTTACTACATAATGCTTTATGTTGTAATTTGTATGTTCCATGAAAGTAGATACGTGCCTTTTCTCTGAGATGTCCTCTTTCAATGACAAAACATTAATTTCAATTAATAGTTATTGCAAGGGTGTTACCATATAGATAATGACATAATTATATTTAATTGGCATATTTAGCACTGATCCATTTATAACTTCATTCAGACTAAAGATGAGTAAGAACCAAATACTGCACCTTCTGAAGAGTTGATTACCCCATTTTACTGTGCAATACCTAATTCCTTTTATGTTAATCTTTAGTGGATTCAACTCTTTCCCTGAGAAGAGATGAAAGCCAAAAGCTTTAGTAATTACTTTTTGTATCATTGTGTATATATAAATCTTACCATAACCAAAGAGTTATTAAAGAATTGGCTCATAAAGTTATTTTAGAATAGTATCTTGTCATTATTCATCTAGGATGTTGAGATGGGTAGCTCAAGGAACACTCCCTCTATAAAATAATGTCTACAGATAGTTAAGGTGTTTGTTTCTGGTTTTTTTTATAAAACCATAATATCCTGACACAATGTAGACATGTATATAAAGAGCCGTAATACTGCAGCACTTATAAATAAACAAGGACATAAATATATATTAAACTGTCTAATTAGGGAAAATGCTAGTTTACAGAAAAAAAAACATACCCTCTCTACCCTATAAATAAGTCCCCAAGCCACGAATAACCATTACAAACAATAGAGAAGAAATAACGTGATCCCCTCAAAATCAAACTAAAGCCATCACATCCCAGTGTCACTGCCGCCGTTCCCTGCAGCAATCCTTCATCCTGAACTTCCTGGTTGTGGTGGAGGAGATTGAGGGCAGAGGAGCCACAGGCTCCTTCTGCCAGCAATCAACCTGTTAGGTTGAGAGGAGGGGTTGGCATGCTGGAGGGGTGTGTGTGTCTATGGACGCACACAGCCACTACGGGAACACGCACGCATGGGTGCCTCCATAGCTGCTGCTTAGGTGCTATTGGCACCCGTGCAGGGGGCAGGAGAGACAGTGATGTAGGGACACACTAGAAAATGAGGAATTTAAACATTTAAAAAAATATATAAGAACAGGTCTGGACACGATCTGTGCCCCCCTTATATATAAAAAGAAAAAAAAGGAAGGTTTAATGTCACTTTAAGGTACTTGAATACATTTTTAAAGTTTAACTCCTGAGTTTAGTGTCACTTTAAAGTTTCATGTTTTTCTGGCTTCCTATACTCCACCTGATTTGTGACTGGTTTATGCTTGGGAATTATTTTCAATACCCTTTTCTCGCAATGAAAATGCTGCTTTCTACTATAACACTCCAGTGCTCTGTGCTGGTCTGAGCAATGATCTGCAGCTCACACTGGAACAAGAGTGCAGGTAGAAAGTAAGTGTCTAGAAGAGGCTGGAGGAGATTGGCAACACTAAAATGCATAAAAAATAACAAAAAGGGAATTTGTGAAAAAGCATTTTGAAAAAAAGAGCCATGACAATTGTTTAACTGGCAAACTAAATGTCATCTAAATAAGATTTAGAGCTGCTTAAGAGGAAAGGCAGGGTGAAACAAAGAAACGAAAGTAGAGTTATAGGTTATTGTCACCCTTTTAGTTATACAGTGGTGCATTAAAAGGGTCTGCCTCTTTGGTGTGTGTATAGAGGGGGGGCTGATAATTTAGCCAAAGACACACACATGCTTTGTGTTATTTACAAAATAAAACATTGCATAATGATAACAAAGTGGTGACAAAATACCAGCTTATCACATTAGAACCCAGTGAAACAGATTGGCGGAGTTGCCAGCAGAGTAGGTTATATGATTGTATCACTCAATGGAGTCATTTCCCTTTGTGATATCATCACCAAATTCTAAATAGCAGACTTGTCAGAACAGAAATTTCACTTTCATGAATAATACATTCTGATTACTTTTAGTTGCATTTTCTGCATATTTTTTCTACATATAAAACAATAAAAAAAACCTTACATACACATTGCTAATTTAATGTCATACTTTTAATTTGTTTTGTAACTAACTGTGTATCTTTGCTCAGTCTGAACTGTCGGAGGGCATCGCAGTCCTGGTTGGATGTAATGACCGGATTCAAGCAGTAGTTAGCCAGCTAGAGGAAACATGTAAAACTGTGGAGGTAAGACATGCTAAAAATATTTTTTTCATTCATATAATTTTAATATTTTTTATTTAACTTTATTTCAATTTAATAACATTGAGTCCTGCATTATTTCCATGTTTTGTTTTAAATGTATGAACGTTTAGAATGTGCTCTTACATTTTGGCGTTTAGATCCAAAGCAAACGGCAGGGAAGAATTTGCGCAATAACCTGTCATTAATTTGTTGTAACTTTAAAAATCAAAAATCAAAGGAGTAGCTGATGAAGCAGATCTCTGCTTCATCAGCTTCTTTTGGGGTCCACAGGTGACATTAGGGGTCCTAGAGACCCCTAATGTCTCCATAAAGAGGACCTGTAAAATAATGTCTACAGATAGTTAAGGTGTTTGTTTCTGATTTTTTTATAAAACCATAATATCCTGACACAATGTAGACATGTATATAAAGAGCCGTAATACTGCAGCACTTATAAATAAACAAGGACATAAATATATATTAAACTGTCTAATTAGGGAAAATGCTAGTTTACAGAAAAAAAAACATACCCTCTCTACCCTATAAATAAGTCCCCAAGCCACGAATAACCATTACAAACAATAGAGAAGAAATAACGTGATCCCCCTCAAAATCAAACTAAAGCCATCACATCCCAGGAGCAAGCTTGGAGCAGTGGCTACTTTACAATAAACATAGGGACCATGGGGAACAAAAGTAGTTACCCTCCAGAAGGAAGGACAGTGTCGGCACCAATTCAGAGACAAATTGATGACCTACAGCTAAGTGATGCAAATAAGCTACATTGTTGTTAATAGTTAAAGTTGTATTGAGGTCTGGGCATTTTTTACCTTAAAAAATGTCTTCGCCCCCCCATACTTATAAAATTAATTTCAGTACAGCGTTGCATGACGGAATAAATGTCAGTCAAAGTACCGCAGCGCTGAATACTGAAAAATGGCCTGGATGGGAAGGGGGTTTAACACCGTGGATGTCAACTGGTTAAATATCCCACATGTCCCACAGAGCTCTCTCTACTTACTGGATGAAATGAAGGTGACCGGAGGAGGGCCAGTCATATGCTAGGGTACATGACCAGATTCTGCTCCTGGCTCTTTTTTTAAAGAACATTTTTGCAGGATTTTCATGCAGTTCTGTTGTGCTTTATTGACTTTAGTGTCCCGAAGACAGCAGAGAGCAGAGCACATTTGTAAAGTACATTGCTCTATATTTTCTGACTCCATAAAATAATGCAGATATATTTGTTTTGAAGAGTGTTTGGTTCATTTTAAGTGATATTTCTTATGCCTTGGAGACCCCAATTATGAAATCTCTTCCCCACAATTTCTGAAGTCTGAATTATAGATATAGGATACACATACTACTGCAGTAAATCGTATTAATGCTTTTTTTCAAATGGTCCAGTATGTGATTTAACCAACTTAATGCCCAAAGTTGAAATGAGTTTTTGGGTGAACATATTATTTTGCCTATGTAGCATGAACGTAAGTCACTGGAAGGATTGTGCAGAATCTGGAGATACCAAATGCATGTATTGTACTGGTGTTACATGCTTTAATGCATGTGTCAAAACTTTTTTTTTTTTTAGTTTTGGGTAGAGTAGAGAAGGGTTAAAACCTCTGCCAGTTTATGTTTCCTACCTGTGTCTCATTGAGTAGGATTCTCTTCACTTCCTGCACCAGAGCTGCAAGAGGAAGTGAGAGAAAATGTAGTCATTGGGCGGAATGTTCACCTTTGACAAATATCACTAGAACAGGTTTACATTGGGAGATTTACCTGGTCAACAGGACAAATAATAAGTACAAATCTCTACAGTGGACACAAAGAGCACAATAAAAAAAATTAACTGAGTTTCTGAGTTTCTAACCATCACTCTCTCCAAAAATAAAATAAAGAGAAGTATGTCTACACATTCAGTACACTTTAAGGCCACACCTTACACAGATTGAAAGCATATTCTCACAAGAATAAATATATCTTCCATCTGGGATTTGTATACGACACGTTACAAGCCTGGCATACTCCTTTACGACTGTTACAACAACCAGGAAATGCTGAAGCATGTAACACACTCTGCTTGTCAAATAATTTGGCAGGGCTAATGCATTACATTATGGAAGTCACTCGGCCTGATAAGTATGTAAGTAAGAGCTACCGGATTACACGAGAACTGTTGTCTACATTGTTTTAATTTGTGCATGGCAAAGCACAGTTCCTCAGCTTGATTATCTGTCTAAAGCTTGAGATGCATAGGGTTTAGTACTGGCAGTAACTTAAAGCTTCTCCATATATAAAAATTTAACCAAAACACCCTTTAGTTTTTTTCTTTGTTTTGTCTACAATTTATGTAAATAATGTGTCTAGCTTTTTTTTCTTGGGGGAATGGTTGGGTAGCTCTGGAACCCTGGAATCATCCTATAGTGTTATAATCTAATAGTATTGCCTTGATGTTTACATTGGAAGTGTGGCTTATACCACAATTATACATATAATTGGATCTGAGACTGAAGTGCTACACCACCGCTTCCAGAATCATTTATCGGAGGAGAGATCAGCAAACGGTTGTTCACTGATCTCTCTCTGGTCTACCTGCCAAGACCTGCCATGGTTGTTCCGGGCCCGCATTAGGGGCAGAAGAGTATAGGAAACATGGCAGGGTGGCAGGGGTGTAGGAATGAGCCGAAAGTCAGCTGACGGAGTGTAAACAAATTCGTGGCTGCCTAGTCTGTTTACAGCTCACTTCTGCCAGGGACAGTAATGGTAATTCTATGGCAGGAAAGGGCAAAGGGAAAAGCTGCACACTAGACAAGGCACAAGTTAATGCAGCTCTGATTTTAAGACAGGGCTTTTTACATAAAGGTGAAGAGTTTGGAGAAGGCAGGGAAGTGAACAATCTAGGACAACAGAGCTGATTTGGAAAAATTCTCCAATTCACCTCACTTTCCAGTTCAGCTATGTTGTCCTAGATTGTTTACTATTGTGAATAACCCTGTAAGTTTTTAAATGCAAGCGGTGTGATTGCCTGAATTTGAACTGATATTAGCCACTTGCAATCCTTGTACAGCAGATCTAACACATGAAAAAGGAAAATGCACCACAATGTTAATGTGTTAAGCAGCATGCTGATAGGAGAAGAGAGCAGAGGGATAGGGGGATATGCTCACAAGTCTATTGGTACTCCTTTCACTTTTCAGTCACAGGCTTAAGGGGAAAAACCTGTAAGTGTTACTTTATTGCAGCAGAGAAAAATCAGATTGTCTGCCTTGCCAGAGAGGACTGTTATGTAGCAGAATTGTGTAAATCTCAGCATAGACAAAAATACAAATGCTTTGGCAGATGAAACAGCTCCAATGTATCTATTTCATCTGTGTATTTATCTATTTGCTTGGAGTTTCAGCCTTCAGAGAGACCGAGATCATTCCATTAAAACCTAATGTATGGAGTATTTTCATTTGCTGCGTTATTTAATTTTTACATTTGAATTTTGTTCTCGCTGTAATTGTCTATAGAATTGAATAGAAGTGCATGATGTTTAATATACTGTATTTAAAATATACAGGATATGTATAAATGTTTTTATGCAAGATTCACAATTGAATGCATTTTGAAAAAATGTGTGAATCTGGATTGAAAGCACTAAAGGTTTTAACTTTAAAAAAAAGTTGCTGCCTTTCCAGTGTTTACTGAGGTGAGCAGAAAAAACTAGGATGGAAATAAATTGTCAATTGATTCAGTATGAGTGTGTGTTAAAAATCAAACAGTCACCCTAACAATTAATAAAAACACCATTTAGCTCAATGATATTGAGTGTCCTTTTAGTCATTTTGTTTACTGCAGGTCTAAAGGGTTCATGTTTCATTGATGTGTGGTGGATGGATGCTTAGACAAGCACACAGAGTTCAGGTAGAACAGGGAACATTGTAGGTCTGGCTGTACAGAAAATATAACTATTTTTAAGATACACAGTGACCAGTATTACTAGTTAGTGAAATTGTTTTTTGTTTTTTTTTTACAAGCACTAAATATGCCCATATATCAGTTTTACATTTAAGTCCACTGATCCTTTGTCTTTATCTTATTTTGACTTGCATATGCAGCACTTAAAGGTCACACAGTGCCCAAAATAACCCAATCTGAGAAACCTTGCAATCTTTAGGTGTCAGAAGTGAATAATAAACTTGGCAGTGGATCAGCTTACTGAGTCATTTAGGTAGGGCCATACAGAATGCTTCAAGTGAGTCAGATTTCTAATTAGGCATGTGCCCAAGGACTAGCTTCTGTTAGGGGTTCCATACTCTCATTCCTGACACATACAATGACTTTTTTTCCTCACTGGGGATGAGCAAATGTGCTTGGGTTTGGTTTGGGGGCTGTTTGTCAAGCCCAAGGTCTGATCATCACAAACATTATATCCTGAAAGGAAACTTCCGAGAGGTGATGTTATCGTGCCTTACCACTGCCTCCTGTGATAGCTGGGTATATGGATTCCAGTGAGAATGTATATTAGCCCATTGCAGTAGTGCAGTCTCGTGGAACTTTGAGTGAACTGGATGCAGCAGTGAGGGGTGGTGACCTGCACCTCCTGGAAGCTAGGATCGGGGTGAGTATTTTTTTTTACATTTCCTATCTCTTGTGAAATCTTTATTGATAAAGTGGGGGGGGGGGGTTGAATCTTGAAAATCAGTTCGGGCCATTTTCAAGGTTATTAGGCAATTAGTAAAACAAAGGGCATGAGAGGCATGTACCAATGCAAAAATAAATGTCAAATAATGCGGTTTCTTCTTTTTATGCAACTTTGAGGGCACAATGGGAACAATATCAATCCTTTCAATGACATGCATCTTTGACCAGACAGGTGTTTGTTCTGCAGCTGCTGGAGAGGAAGAATTACCTTCCCATGCATCGTCTCAATGAAAGGCTTGGATTTAAAGCTGCCCCATTGCAGCTGGTGGAGTTGGCCATATATTGAGCTGTGCTGCAACATTTTTTTTGCCCAGAAGGTC